TGTGGCGGCTGAGAACTGGTAATCATGGCATTCAGTAAAGTACATCTTAACTAAAACTGTTGGAAAATAAAGTATAAGTGTAAAATTACAGCATTCAATATTATCGGTTATCAGAATTTTTAGCCATTTAAAAGCCACAAAATCAGTCAGGCGCTGGTATCACTGAAGCAGCCTGTGGGCTGTCAGGGCGAACTCGGATTTTAATAGCTTGTGGAATTACTTGTAGATTCGTATGAGGAGGTGAAAGCACTTCTATAAGACGTGTTTAGATTAAAGCAAACTGTTTCCCCAAAGAGCCATGAAAGCAGATTATCTGCCAGTAACAGTCACACAATCCAGGCATCTAAAATTTCTGTGGACCAACGAAAAATACTCATATACACATGGTGCACATCACAGCTAATCCCAGCACAGAGAGAGAGAGAGAGAGAGAGAGAGATGTCTTGTTCTAGGCCTGTTTATAGGTGCAGATAGGTGGCCATTTTTCTTTATTCTCCTGCTTGACCTGAAATTGTGTTGGGGGAAATTTGCCATCAGGTTAGGGAAATAAATGTCAAAACATGGTCTGAAAATGAGAAAAAAGCAGCTCTATGATAATGCTAATGTCTCCGAGTTGCTCTACTAAGATTTCTAATAGTATGTTAGTGTTAAGCTAACACAGGTGTATATGCCCATTCTAGACTAAACATGCATATTTAAAGCTTGAAAAAGACATTCAGTGTGTTAGATGTTGTAAGTTTGTGACAGACAATGACAAAATCACCGCTGTCCAAAAAAGAACATGCGTCTCCGAAATGGTAACTTTAAAGAATATGGCAAAAACATACTTTATCTTCAACGTAAGTTAATGTCATTTTTATTAGAAGCAATTTTGAAGCATTTCTGTTGGTCCAGTCATCATAAAAAATTTCACACAATGTAAAAAACAAAGGCTCAAATCATGCTTAAAACTAAAAATCGCTATATATTTAACCTTGTATCCGGTTTACAGTGAGTCCCTCCATAATGAGTCTGGGTATAGAGCTGATGCTGTTTTCCATTTCTAACAACTGACTGAAATCTGGTTAGACTACAGCTCATGTTCACAGTCAGTGACGTATCTAGAACTTCCAGAATGCCTATAGTGACATTTATTTCTCACCAAATTAACCCCACGCTTTGTAAATCGAACCATTCTTGGTTGAATCCGCAATTTGTTCCTAATTATGCAGGTGGTGAATCTAATGTGTAACACCTTCAGTTCAGCTCAATTCAAGACCAAGTTCAGTCCTAATCAATGGGAGAGCTCTCTCGGATGTAACCACCTGGGTACCATGTGAAGAAAAAATCCTGACTGAGCAGTTTTCTGCTTCAAAAGTTAAACCCTTTGGTTTGCGACCAAAACATAATCATGAAATAAGAGAATTACAGGACTTACATATATTTTTATAGAATTAAATACAACATACATGATAATTCTGTTCAATTAAAATAAAGAAAAATTCCAGACTTTGTTTTTTTTTAGTTTCCGGAAATCATAAGTCCTTCTCTGAAGGCCCAGACGGCCCTGAGGTTCCCCATTGCTAAAAAGTCTTTAGAGTTGGATTGACAGCAGTGATAAGTTTCTTCTCCGTTTTGCTCAACTTCAATATGACTGACTGAAGCCCCGCCCAAGACCATCTCCTATTGGCTAATACATGCGTGTATCAGAGTCCATTCCAGCAAAATATTAGCTCCGGCAAATTATTTAAACCATTTTATATGTCATTTTGGTGCACTGCCATGTATTGGTATCTGCTGTCCATCACATCTCATTGGAATCAATAGCGATCATCATTTTTCAAAACAATGTTTACGGTATTTGAGCAAGAATGAGTATTTTAAACCAAACTACATACACACACATCTGCTACAAAAGACAACGTAAACATTGTCTTACGTTCAAATACCTGCTGTTTTATTTTCCATCAAATGAGAATTTGCCTCATTGTTCATAGGCCCAGATCTGCTCACCTCAAGAAAAGTCCATAATTTGTTCTTCAGAGCTCCTGAAATTGTTCTTATTGTGAGTTGTGTTCTCTCAGATGCCGATTCAAGGGCTTGTACATTCAGACAGCTGTCCCTTCCTCTACACCAATCACATTACAATTTAAATTTCATCTGGCCTGCAGCTCAAGGGCACTTGAAAGCTGCAGCAGAGGAAGCGAAGGAGTGGCCGTTTTCTCACAAAAGAAGAATGCTCCGGCAAAAAAAGGCCTCCACGCTGCAGATCACACTTAAATCAATTACATGCATTGTTTGTTCCTCCGGAAAATCGATGTGTGGAGAGTTTTCATCACTCGCGCAGAAACACGGCCGTGGCTGAGAATTGCCTGGCAGGGTGAGAGAGAGAGGCTCGGCCTTTATCGCTACAAAACCATCTCGATTAATTATAGCATGACTCCAGCTTTACTTTTCCCCCCTTTTTTTAATTGCTCCATAAAATGTCCCTGAAACGTGTGCCAAAGGAAACATAATGACACTGTGATTTCCCTACTAATGATCTTTATTTCTTCCTCTCGCAAACATTTGTTCCTCATACTGTTATTTATCTTATATTCATTATTTGAAAACTCTGAATGAAAGAGCTCAGAAGCTCAGAACTATTTTAGTGGTAATGAAGATGAGTATCTATTGAAAGATGTAGCTGCTGAAAATTATTATGATGATGATAATGATGATGATGATGATGACCATGCTTATGATGACAACGATGATGGTGATAGCAATTATGAAGATATAGATGATGATAGTGATGATGATGACAATGAAGTTGGTGGCAATATAGATTTTGATGATGTTAATCATTTTAATGATTGTTGATTGTGACATTAATAGTGCTGATGATTGCATTGTTGAGAATGTGGTTTAAGCTGATGATGATATTAATGGTGATGTTGATCACACTGATGATGATGATGATGATGATGGCGGTGGTAGTGATAATGTTTTGGTGATGAGGATGATAATGATTGTTAATGATAATGATGATGATGATGATAGTGATGACACTTGATGTTGATGGTATTGATGATGTTGATTGTGCTAGTGTTTGATGATATCAATGGTAATGTTGATTGATAATGGTATTGATAATGTCGGTGGTGCTGATGATTGTTGATGATGATATCAGTAGTGATTTTGATTACACTGATGATGATGATGAAGGTGGTGATAACGTTTTTGGTGATGAGGATGATAATGATTGTTGACATTGTGGATGATGGTATAGATGATGTTGGTAGTGCTGATGATTGCATTGTTGATGATGATATCAGTAGTGATCTTGATTACACTGACGATGATGATAATGATGGTGGTGATAACGTTTTTGGTGATGAGGATGATAGTGATTGTTAATGATGACATCGTGGATGATGATGGTACTGATGATGGTGGTGATGCTGATGATTGCACTGTTGATGATATCTTGATTACACTGATGATGGTGGTGATAACATTTTTGGTGATGAGGATGATAATGATTGTTGATGATGATGGTATTGATGATGTTGGTAGTGCTGATGATTGTTGATGATGATATCAGTAGTGATCTTGATTACACTGATGATGATGATGATGATGATGATGATGATGGTGGTGGTGATAACATTTTCGGTGATGAGGATGATAATGATTGTTGATGATATTGGTAGTGCTGATGATTGCATTGTTGATGGTGATGATATCAGTAGTGATCTTGATTACACTGATGATGATGATAATGGTATTGATGATGTTGATGGTGCTGATGATTGCATTGTTGATGCTGATATCAGTGGCGATGTTGATTACATTGATAAAGATGGTCGGGGTGGTGATGCTTTCGATGATACTATTTGTTGTTGATGTTGACAGTGTTCGTGATGATGACGTTGAGGATGATGTTGCTTGATCCTGCTATCATACGACATCATGTCTGTTGTACAAGCATGTATTATCTCCAGTATTGAAAGGCAGGATTTCCCTGAGTTAATAATATGATTCAACTCAACATTAACAGTTGTCAAGCATGAGTTGAGGCAGGTGTGTTCAAGCAGGAAAAATCTTCTGCACCTGCAGCTTCACAGCAAGCTTGTATAAAAAGTAAAAAAATGCAAAAATACGACAGGATTGAAGCTTGTTCTTTAGAATACAGTCTTTTCTTTCATCAGATCAGGCTGACAAAACTCTAATCTATAAAGGCTAGATTAGAGCCTTTAGCTTTTTTTAAACTTTGTTCACATAAAATCCAACAGAAATTGAGCTTACTCTCTGGAATCAACAGCTTTTTCATGAGATCCAGTTGGGGGAAGCTTTGCACTTTAGGGCCAATAGCGTTCATACAGTTTATAAATGTATAATTATTCACTGTACAGTTATTGAATTCTTGTAGTAACTTAGAGTTACAAAATGTTATGGTTAGGACTAGCATCAGGTTTAGGACCACTAGCTTCTTATGCCTTAATTTAGTGATTATTAGTTCTCAGGGCCCCTCAGAGGGTCTATATTTTTCCTTCATTCATGTGTTGTGAGATGGGTTGGAGCAAAACTGTGGACCATCTCGGGGGGCCTTCGGGACTGGGTTTGGAACCATACTGCAAAAAATTATGTTAGCAAGTTAAAACATTGTAAATGTAGTCAATATGTATGTATCTTTTATTATAAGATTTTTGTAAGAATATAATACAATTATTCAACCTATTTCAAGACATTTTTTTCTTCTTTTTAAGTCATTTTCTGTAGACCATTGGCGGACCATTTTAGTTCTACTTATTTCAAGAAATAAAGCTTGAAACAAGTAATCTGCCAATGGAATAGTATTTTCACGAGATAAAACTACTTAAAACTAGTAATATATATATATATATATATATATATACACACAACAACACAAAACAGCCTTTCAGTTGAGGAAAGACTATAGTATGACTCTCTAAAACTCCAGTTTGTCTTTGCTATAGTTCTGGCGCCGTCTGACTCTGAGTTTCTATCATTAACAGGGTATGATGTATCTGGAAGAGCGGAGGCTGGTACACAGGGACCTGGCAGCCAGGAACGTCCTGGTGAAGTCTCCCAACCACATCAAGATCACAGACTTTGGCCTGGCGCGGCTGCTGGACGGGGATGAGAAAGAGTACAACGCAGACGGAGGGAAGGTCAGTGACTCTCTCAGCCCCATTGCTGCCCAGCAGTTGGTGCGCAGGTTGCCAGTCCGGCGCCAGTACGATCCGGGAGTTAGCAGGTGCACTCTCTGACGGAAAAACAAGTTAATCTGTTATTGTTTTGAAGTAATCAAGAGATGTGGTGCACTTAATATTCATCCCTTGATGGTCTCTTGGTTTTAGAACACCGGCTGCTATGACAGGTTAATTTACTGCCGGATTTACTGGGATCGCTACATAATCAACTTGTAAATTAGCTGCCCCACGAGACGCTCCTTCTTCTCTCCATATTCACTCCCTCACTCTGCGACTTCCCTCAAATCCACTTTACTCTCTCTCTCTCTCTCTGTCTTTCTCTCTCTCTCCCCCCACCCAACACTCCCAGAATACATCCTTGCACACTTTTTACCAGCAAAGAATGGATGTGGTTATTTGAATATATAATCGTGTGCAAAAGTCAGAGACCACTCTTTTGTTTATTTAATTTCCAGTGAAAATAGTCATTAAATAGAAGTTATTCATTTTTCAGAGCGGGTAAACATAAGCAGGCAACATATATATATATATATATATATATATATATATAATAGAAAATGACTTAAAAGCCTTCAACACTCGGTAAAATCTCAAATCTACTGGTTGGGTAGTAACAGAATACATTTAATGGTGATACATAATCAAGGTAACAGCTACAGATGATTAAGTTACAGGTTATTACCAGCATGATTATAGCAAAAAATAGCTGCCTTTCGTCAAAATACGCCATTCTGAATGATAAATATATCATATGAGTCGTGTAGATTTGAAGAGTTTTTCATTTTGAGAAGAGGTTGGAGCTGCCAGCAGCAGAAAAACCTGAAGAAAAAGACCCCTAACAAGCAGCAGCTCAAGGTCTTTTATCTGGCCAATCAAGAACTTTTAGCAAGTATTTTATTTTTATTGGCTGAGATCTGCAGCAAACTGATCTGGAAGGTCCTCTTTTTATTCCTGTTTGTTGCTGCACAAAATTTTACAGCTATAAATTGACTGACATTAACATTAACTCAGAATAATAACATGGAACAGAATAATAATGAAACTTGTAAAGAGGCCGTCATTATTGGTAACAAAAGCAGTCAGTTCCTGCTTAATTTTTAATGTAAAATTAAGGTCATTTAAAATGATTAGGACACGATTTCTGTGGGCTGCCAAAACTGGACTAAGAGCTGAGGGAGCGTCTATAAATTACATCACACAACACATCAGTATGAAGCCGTATGAGCTAATATAGACCTTTTAGCAGGTACAACACAAATGATGGGCTGTCACAGTTTTTAGAATCACCACAGAAATCATGTCCTAAATATTTTAAAAGGCATTAATGTTGTTCAAAGGAAGATGTTTACCAGATTGACCTTTTGACGTTGGCATAAAGCACAAACTATTTAACCAACTACATCACTTTGCTCCATTAAACAGCACAGTTTTCCTGTTTGCCCCTTATGAAGTTAAAGGCACCCTGTTGAAATTATATTACTCTGCCTTTATTTAATTATATGACTTTAAAAACACAACAAAACTAATCAAATTATATTACATTAGTATAATAATCATTTGGCTTAGGTTACATATTATGTCTTTTAACAGGTAATCAGTGATCTGTACTGGAGTGTACGTTTAAAGTAACCCCCCTAAGCCTCCGTATCTATCAGTATTTGGTTTCTTTACTTTTGTGCACCTCCTGCCACTTTCATTCTTCCATCCTTCCAGTCTTAAAAGCAACCAGCTGTTCCCAAAGGACTCAGGGACATTAGGTTCCCCTTCAAAGAGACACTAAGTCTAACTTTACATGGTGAAATTTTCTTGCAACTTGTTTTGACAGTTACACTAAGCAATTAAAAACAGTCAAAGTTGCACAGCACTTTTGATTAGTCCACTATTTGGGCAAAATAGCAGCTGGTATTTTTGATACACTATCATTCTCACTATAAAGTCATACGTGTGATGTAATTTACTTATTGGCCACATTTTTATGGTCGTCATATAATTTTTCCAGTTGTCACTGCCATTCTTTTCTGCCTCTATATTGCTTTTGTGTATCTAGCTAAGGTTCTTTACTATACATTCCATTATTGATTCTGTTTTATGCATGTTAAGCATTTAAAAGGGAATGTTTGAGTAGCCATTGCAGTTGTACATGATGTCTCAAGCACTGCAGGTTCATTGAGAGGAATTATTCCTCTTTTTTATTTTATTTTATTTTTTTATTTGAATTCTAAAGGAATCAGAGCTCTGTGTATAATTAGGGAAAGAAAATGAATTCTAGCAATCTAGTAGATCATGAAAACAGCAGGCTAACAAATAAGAATACACCAATCAGGCATAACATTATGACCACCTCCTTGTTTCTACGCTCATTGTCCATTTTATCAGCTCCACTTACTATATAGGTGCACTTTGTAGTTCTACAGTTACAGACTGTAGTCCATCTGTTTCTCTGCATACTTTGTTAGCCCCCTTTTACCCTGTTCTTCAGTAGTCAGGACCCCCATGGACCCTCACAGAGCAGGTACTATTTGGGTGGTGGATCATTCTCAGCACTGCAGTAACACTGACATGGTGGTGGTGTGTTAGTGTGTGTTGTGCTGGTCTGAGTGGATCAGACACAGCAGTGCTGCTGGAGTTTTTAAACACTGTGTCCACTCACTGTCCACTCTATTAGACACTCCTACATTGTCAGTCCACCTTATAGATGTAAAGTCAGAGACGATAGCTCATCTGCTCCTGCACAGTTTGTGTTGGTCATCCTCTAGTCCTTCGTCAGTGGTCACAGGACGCTGCCCACAGGACGCTGTTGGCTGGATATTTTTGGTTGGTGGACCATTCTCAGTCCAGCAGTGACACTGAGGTGTTTAAAAACTCCAGCAGAACTACAAAGTGCACCTATATAGTAAGTGAAGCTGATAAAATGGACAATGAGTGTAGAAACAAGGAGGTGGTCATAATGTTATGCCTGATCGGTGTAAATGTTGGCACAAGCAACCACTAATCAGGAGGATCTCATTTTAAACCACCCAGCCATCTTCTGTTTTATTTTCTTATCCACTGAACTGGTGAAATCAATCGTTTGAAATGACATCGTTTAGTATGATCATTTAACACATTGTCAGCTTTTAGACTGGCTGTTTCATGCAGCTTCTTCCGCAAAGTTGAGACGTGAGTTGTGTAACACTTTACATTAAGCAATTCAAGTGCAATTTATTTTCATTTAAGTTTGAAGCAGCTAAGGTTAATTAAAGTTTCGCTGTGTAAAGCCAGCCGAACACTTGTATAAGCAGTTACCCAAACTCACCTTGCCTCGCACATTTCTTTCTCATGTGCATCAAAAATGGCTGAAGAAGAAATTTATAAGCTCATTAAAGCTTTCATCTGTGAGAGAGAGGAGAAAATCAAGCTGCTTCAGGTGTTTCTGTCCATCCTTCCACTGTGAGAAGACGACTCAGCGCTGTGGGTCTGAAAGGAAGAACCTCACTGAGAAAAGGAGACGGACACATCAAACAAAGAAGCTGAACAATGGGCTGACCACCCCAGAGTCCAGACCTTAACATCACTGAATGTGTTTGGGATTATGAGAAGCAGAAAGTAGAAAGGTGGACACACTAAATACTGAAGAATGTTGAATTGTGTGTAGATGATGACATATTTTTTTAATATTATGTTTTCTGCTGAAAAATTAATATTTCCTGCTTAATGGCAGTTTTGAGTGGAAATTAAATAATATACCGCGAAATTAAATAATATACCGCGACCCTATCTGGACTAAGCGGTTAACGATGATGATGATGATGATTAAATAATAATTAATAAGACTTTTGCAGCGGTACTTCATTTCAAACTCTCAAATATCACCTCTTATGCTATCTACACACAGTAAATTCAATAAATATTCAATTTGCATTGTTTTCATTCTTTATTCATAATAATAATACAGTTATATAATACATTTGTAGTTGAGATATTCAAAAAATGTTCGTGTAAATATATTGTAAATTAGTAAAATAGTAAAAATTATTAAGTGTCCATCTTTATTGCCAGTGCTTCACTGTTTCCCCTGCCTCAAGTTGGCCGGACTTTCTCTTTGGCCTGTGGCTCATCCGAGCTGCTCTGGTAAAAGAGAGCCAGTCACCTCCTCACTCTCCCGTGCAGAAATCAATAGAGCCGACTGGTGAAGTCAAACGTTTCCATTTAGCTCTAACTGTCTGTAATTTTGATTTTGACATGTTTGTGTTCTCGGAGGGAGACTCTTTACACTGTTTTACCGTTTTAGCTAAGATCATTACTCAGAGACACAGACGGCCCAACCTGTTTGCTGTTTTCAGAGGGATCCCTGACTCTGACAGCTGTGTTTGGCAGTGTGTTGGAGTTTGGGGAACAGGTTTGATTAAGAGAACAGTGAACATCCAAGACTCCAAGAAGTGTTATTTTGCCTGAAGTAGCTCATGTCCTGTGTGACAGTGAAAAAGCCTGACAGTGTATTACAGCTATTTAAAACCAACCACAACCAAAGTGGTTGTGGTTGTGTAAAGCTCCTTTCAGTGCTCGATTAGTTTTGCCTTCAATAAAGGCTCCATAATTTCAGTAGTTATTGATGAGAGTCATGATTTTAATCCAGTATGAATCTGCAGTGTGTGTAGTTTTACAGTCTATCAGTAATAATTGTGGAGTGATTTTAGTCCAGTATGAATCTGCAGTGTGTGTAGTTTTACATTCTAACGGTAATAATTGTGGAGTGATTTTAATCCAGTATGAATCTGCAGTGTGTGTAGTTTTACAGTCTGACGGTAATAATTGTGGTGTGATTTTAATCCAGTATGAATCTGCAGTGTGTGTAGTTTTACAGTCTATCAGTAATAATTGTGGAGTGATTTTAATCCAGTGTGAATCTGCAGTGTGTGTAGTTTTACAGTCTGACAGTAATAATTGTGGAGTGATTTTAATCCAGTATGAATCTGCAGTGTGTGTAGTTTTACAGTCTGACAGTAATAATTGTGGAGTGATTTTAATCCAGTATGAATCTGCAGTGTGTGTAGTTTTACAGTCTGACAGTAATAATTGTGGAGTGATTTTAATCCAGTATGAATCTGCAGTGTGTGTAGTTTTACAGTCTGACAGTAATAATTATGGAGCGAGTGAATTTAATCCAGTGTGAATAAATGCCTCATGAATTCCTAATCATTTTCTCAAACATGAAAACGACCTCTTTCTCCAGATGCCCATTAAGTGGATGGCGTTGGAGTGTATCCACTACAGGAAGTTCACCCACCAGAGTGATGTCTGGAGTTACGGTAAGATTAATTTTAGTTGAAGTGTCACAATTTACAGCCTTAACCCTCCTTATATCTACACATATACAACTAGAAATATGTCTTCTTTAGTTTGGTTTAATTATTTTTGTGTTTGTTAAAAGTTCTAAACTTCCAGCTGAAACCTTTTTTGTGTTCGTAAGTAGAATAAAATATTTTCTGATATGATTTGAATTTAAAGAAAAATTATTAATATGATTTGTTTAAGTGAAAGAAAAATCATCTTTTACATTTTTGCTATGCCTTGGTCAAGTTTTAATATCTAAACAAATGGCAAAAAGTTAGAAGTGAAACCTTTTGATACAGAATCATCTGTCAGTATGATTCTTCACATAACTATATAATGACGTATATTTAGTGTTTAGAATATTAGACAAATTGTGAAAGTGCATTAAACACCACATGATTTTTCTTATTTTTTATGATATAGGTTGTCATGATTGGGCTTTACACATACAAGAAATGTCATTGCTATATTGCAGTTAACCCTTTTTTGACAAAGTGCATTTTATATCAACTGTTAGTCTTTTTAAATCTCTTCATAGCCAAAATTGTTACAAATATATACAGCATTTTGAAATGGAGCTCTCGATTTATGCAATAGCAGCTCTGAATGTGTAGTGGTTGATTTCTGGACAGAAAAACCCAATCAAAGTAAAGAATGTCTAACCCTTATGAAAACATCTTGTGTCTCAAAAATGGTAACTTAACGGGAGAAATAAACAATGTTCTTAACCTTGAACGGAGGTCAGTGGAGTAAGATTCATTTCAAATAAATGTGGAGCATTTCCGTTGCTCCGTTCTTCATGAAATGTTTAACCACTGTGATGGGCAGCTGGCATCTTCAAAATCTGTGGAAAAAAAAAAAAAGTTAAAAATGGAGATACAAGGTGATGATATGCAGAAGAAGCCTTGTGGTCTGTTATATGGCGATGTGCAGTTTTAATGATTATTCTTCATCTTTCAGGTGTGACTATCTGGGAGCTGATGACGTTCGGGGGGAAGCCATATGATGGGATTCCAACACGAGAGATTCCTGACCTCCTGGAGAAAGGAGAGAGACTGCCCCAGCCGCCCATCTGCACCATTGACGTCTACATGGTCATGGTCAAATGTACGATCTTTCTCTCTCTCTTTATGGCATTTAGCAGATGCTCTTATTCAGAGCAACTTTCAAAAGTGCATTGTTGACCAAGAGACCTAGAGAATAGAATTAATGAATTATGAATGTTTAATAATAATGAATAATAATTAATAATAGTGGGTAGCGCTGTCGCCTCACAGCAAGAAGGGCCTGGGTTCGATTCCCGACTGGGCGCCCAGGGTCCTCTCTGTGTGGAGTTAGTATGTTCTCCCCATGTCTGTATGGGATTCCTCCCACAGTCCAAAGACATGCAATCGGGCAAGTTGGACACACTAAATTGCCCCTAGGTGTGAATGTGAGTTATAGAGTAGTAGTCCATCTGTTGCTGCACAATTAATCAGCCCCCATCTACCCCATTCATCACTGGTCAGTTTCTGACAGGATCATTGTTGACAAGATATTATGTGGGTGGCGGTCCATTCTGGTGCTGACATGGTGGTCTGTGTGGTGCTGGTATGAGTGCAGCGGTGTTGTTAGAGTTTTTACACACCTCAGTGTCACTGCTAGGCTGGGAGTGGACGTCTGCACAGGCCTGATCAGAACCATACTGCTAAATATAAAACCTGAGCCTGACCTGAACTCACTCTCACTCACTAACGGAGACGGATAATCACAGACTCAGTTTTACTAAAAAGTGAAGTGTTATATAACAGCACACTTACCTGTGAGACCTGTTTTAACACATTTTATGACATTATATATTATATATGTTTTTTTGTTTTTTTTTTCAAGATGTGCTGTGTGCAGAAATACAGTCATATGCAAAAGTCTGGGCGCCCCTGGTCAAATGACGTGTTTTGTTGATTTTATAAATTCATAAATAAATATATCGCTGTTGTTGGAACAAAACCTTGTAAATGGTAACTTTACAGGAGAAGGAAAAAACATACTTTACTTTTAATACAAGTCAATGGAACCAGACTTTTTTACAAGTATGTTTTGTCCATTTCTTTTAGCCAATTCATCATGAAATTTACACATAAAGTAAAGAGCAACAGGCATTTTCACATTATGTCAAAAACTGAAAAACAAAACAAAAATGGAGATACGAGGTTTCGTCCCGGCAGCAGACAGCTGACCTGTAGTTGAGAGTGGTCCGCCACCCAAGAAAATCCAGCCAAGTGCAGCTCTGTTGTCAGAAACTGACCACTGATGAAGGGAAGGAGGATGACCACCATCACCACCAAGGTGGGGTCTCTAATAAAGTAAAGCCACTGAGCTTCTTTCAAGATCACCACTTCAGTGTAGTATGTTCTTAGGACACCAGTAGCACACGTGTCCCCCCACAGCACTGATAAATGCAGGGTCTTTCCTCTAGTGGAGCGGTAGTGCTGAGCTGGTGTGAGTGGCACTGGGGCACTGAGGTCATTCTCTCTCTGTAGTGCTGCGAGTAGCCGCTGACAGCCATGTTCCTCCAGGAAAAACAAGCCTTCAGTACTTTCATGTGTTTGCATGTGACTGACAGCGGCTGGCCCACAAACTCACCTCATGCCATGTTCCAGTGCACAGCAGCCCTGTACTGCTCATACACACACACACACACACACAGACACACACACAGACACACACATCCCACAGGCTCCTGAGGTCACCACGGCCGTTTATAGCTCTCACGTCTCAGCCTGTCGTAAAGAGAAGCATAAAAACTGCATAAAATCTCACTGGTCAATTTTCAGAAGTGATAATATTTAACAGCATTAGTTCATTTTAATTCAGTATTTTCTCACTTACTCCATGACCTGCAGCAGAGGCGAACCATGACCTGTAGAGCCAGGTCTTCAGTTTGGGCCATAAATGTCAAAACTCTTTAAAAAATGAAAAAAACGACCCACCTACAGCCCACGTTCACGGTCAGTGGAGTATCTAGGACCTAGAGTGAAATTGCACTGTAAAAATGATGCAGTTTATTAATTTAGAAATGTAAGTAACCTGGTCAACTTAATATTTAGTTCATTGAATGTTAAATGATAAGTTAACAGAAGAATAGTCTGTTTTACATTTGCTAACATATTATTTGAACATTTAAATTCAACTAGGTTACTATTTTAAGTTGTCTGATTTTTACAGTGTAGCTCCATTCACTGTAAATCAAAGTGTGATTGGTTGATTCCACTCTTAGTTCATAATTATGTTGGTAGTTAATCTAATGTGTAAGGCCTTAAGTCCCGCTCCTGAAGTCCTGACCAATGGGAAAGCTTGCTTGGCTGTATCTACCTAGATACCACAGGAATAAAAATCCTGATTGCCCAGTTTTCCATTTTTTTTAGCCCTTTTGTTTCCAACCAGAGGTTAATAATGAAATAAGAGTATTACTACACAACTCACAGAGTATACATACAACAAGCCTGATGATTCTATTCAATAAAGGCCCTGAGGATACCCGGCTAACTGTTAGTTCATAGTGACCATTTTCTGTATCCATTGTTATTCTATGTATTAAGTCCCTCTCAGATCTTCTCTTTGATATTCCACTGATCTCCACTGTCTGCCTTGAATACTTTCCTTTATCTTTGTATTAATTTTTGAAGAACCAAAAGCAAAAGTGTTTAGTGTCAGTGTTTCTCTCCCACCCAGCCTATATGTGGATTATTACACATATTAAGTCCAGGGATGTGCACGGGAACTGGAGTGCATGGTTAACCATTCGAAATGCCAGTGTTTAAATACTGAAATCAGTATTCGGGTATTCGTTATCTTTCTTTACAAGAAGATGGAGAACATATACAGATGATGAAATTACATATTTATGTTTTCACAGGACTGTAAAATGTTAGTGTTGGTTATATTTGTGAGTAAGTACATTTATTACTCTGTGTCACTTCTGAAACATGAGTGCTTGAGATTGAGCACATTGCCAGGGATGCGTTGTCAAGGACGTGACTGGGAAGGCAGATGTAGAGCAGCCTTACTTTCAACTAGGTTAACTACTCTAGCTGATGTTAGGTCCAGAAACAATGGAAATGTGTTGGCACATCATCCACCGATGAGACAAGACCTCGTGCATATTTAATAAGTCTGCATCAACATTCAGTATTGTACCAGTTAGCTGTAGCTTTAGCTCATCTGAAGAGGCAGCCTCTGTGAAACTATGATTTTCTTCGGCTTTTTTTAAATGAAAAATTACCTTAAAGCACCGCTTACATCACAGTGTGTCTATCTGTTTATGTTCCAGCATGTAATCTTAGATCTGCAGATACTGAGCTTCTGTAAACACCTTCAGTGAAATACAGAAAACATGGAGAGACTCATTCAGTTATTCTGCTTCTAAACTGTGGAGCTCAGTTCACTTTTTATTAGACAGTCAAGCTCAGTGCTCACTTTTAATAAACATCGAAAAACGCATCTCTTTAACTTAGTGTTTAATTAAAACTCTACATCTCGTGGTGTTTATCTTCTAATTTGATCAGTGTCGTTTCTTATATGATTTTAAATGAATACTTATAATTTGTGGGATTACTGTTAAGCTTTATCTCCTGTCTGTAAAGCATTTTGAGCTGCCACCAGCATGAAAAGTGCTATATAAATACTAATTATGATTGTTATTATTATTATTATTATTATTATTATTATTATCATCATCATCATCATCATCATCATCATTATTATTATTATTATTGTTGTTGTTGTTGTTGTTACTATTGTTATTATATTATTATATAATATTATTATTATTATATTATATATATATTATGTATTTTACTACTGATGCTGAATTATTGGGCTACGGGATTTTTAAGCCTCTTAACACCAAAGCTAACGCCTAACGCCTAATTTCTTTGTTATTTTTTCCTTACCTGCAGTTAACCAGATATCCATTCATTAAGTCTTGCTGATACCAAAATTTGTTAGAATGCATTATAAATCATCTTAAATTATGAGTTCTGTTATTTCAGCCCGTAGAAGTCGCTGTTTTTGTTGGTGATAACAAAAGCAGGGTGTATATGTATATTGATTATTGCTTACTCATAGATCATTGAGTGCACGTTATAAACCTTCAACTCATATCAAGTTTGCATTTGTGAATAGAAAAGAAAATTTCACTTTGATTTGAATTTGATAAAAAGTTACTGTAAAATCAGTCAAACAGAGAACATTGATACAAAGTGTAAATCAAATGTGACTGTAACTGCAATTATGTAACTCAGTATGTAATTAATTATGTTATAAAATTTTAATAGTACAGCAAATAGTATGGCAAATGCTATAGTGGTTTGGGTTTTGGCCTCTATTTTCATTGACATTGTGAACAGGTACAACCGCCTCATTCGCAGAAGGCAGCCCTGTTTCAATTGCGGCCTAAGCGCTTTCCTTTAGTGCATCGAATAAGCAGAGAATTGTGATGAGGCAGGATTAATTACCTTCCTTTTTCCACACATCATGAGAACAACCAATCACTGTTTGGCTCTCCTCAGTTCCACAGTGAAAGTGTACAAAATTCATGTGTCACTGCAGGACTGGTGGCAGCTTGAGCCTGTCGGGACGAGTTAGGCATCCGTATAGCACACAAAGCTTTTGGCAGTGTTTGTCCTCTGATACTGAACACAGAAACTAAAGGATAAACTAAATTTGGAGCTGTTGACTACTAAAATAGTAAAAAAGCCAAAAATATAACAAAATTGTGAGAAAAAGTGAGAATAAAAATGAGGAACACTTTCTATGAAGCCCATATTCATAAACCATTATAAATGTGCTTATAACTTTTTCTAACTTGGTTATTGTGGTGATATGTGCTGTGTGCATTAACCATGTATGCAAACCTACTACAATACCCATTATCCTTCAGCAAAAGGCATCCAGGGTTTTCAGAGTCAGTGGGAGGCTTTGCAGAAACACAAGTAGGTTATTATTCAGTGTGACTAGTTAGCTACAATAATAAGTTCATAACCTCCCATACCCTTGTGGGAGTGAGTTTGTGACAGTCATAATGCCTTGTAAGCATATTTATAAAGTCTAATAATGCTTTATAAGGCTATAATAATGAACTATGATTGATTATATGGTAACTTATAAACCATGTAGTAACACAAGTGTCAGTGTCGATTCTTTTAAATGACCCATGCATAATTCTGAATAACATATAATATATATTAACAGTTAAAAAAACATTATAAACATGAATACAGAAACATAAAATGCCATTATCACGTGCTTTAGATGAGTTTTTAAGTATGCTTATAAAGCATTGTTACCAAATTACAAGGAGTTATTAGTACATTTATAACTATTTTTGAATACGTTTCATAAAAAGTGTTACAAGAAAATGTAACAGTGTTTTACAGACACTGTGTGAAATCCACAATACTATGTGTATTGTTGCTTTTCCATGATGATGTAGTATATTTTTGATACAGTGATTGACAGAATAAGGTCATGAAAGCATAATTAACACAAAAAATGCAACATCTAATTTTGAATGAACAAAAAAAGTAAATGCTTCTTTCACATACGTATTTGGAAAAACCTCTTAAAGAAGATTGAAGAAGAACATAATTCTATAGACTTTAATGCTACAACCCAAAAGTGCTACAGTTCAGTGTTTGTTGTTGTTTGCTGTTGTATTTTACTTCAGTATATCCATTAATACAGATATTTTTGTAGCATAAAATCTACCAGCATTCAGCTGACAGGGAGTATAACCCCTTTACTAAAACAGTCTGGCCAGAAACTGCATTTCACCTGGTAACAGACTGATTTTAGTCAAATAAATGATGTGTTTAAAGTGTAAAGTAACAGTCCAGGTGTTACTGTTGAATGAACAAAATCCAATATTCTTCACAAGCGTCCAGTCGGCCTCTGCCCTTTTCTGTATTTTACAGTCTGAGTTCAGAGGGTCTGTTGCTGTTGTTTTCTAACAGAACGTTCTGCTCTGTGTTGGATGATCTCTGCAGGTTGGATGATCGATGCGGACAGCAGACCCAAGTTTAAGGAGCTGGCTGCCGAGTTCTGCAGGATGGCCCGAGACCCGCAGCGCTACCTGGTCATCCAGGTAACAAACCAGCTCATACTGAAACTAATGCAGTGAAGAGAGTGATGAGGAAGAGGAGGCTGAAGGAGATTTAAGTCAAGTTTATTGTCAGAACACTTCCACATGGACTGCCATTCGAAATTTTGGAATCACTAATATAAAACCAATTTGGTTGCAGATAAATTTGTAAATAGATTCTTATGTGCTTGTCCTGTTTAACCTCACAGCTTTTTTGTCATTTTGATGACACTAGGAAGCTATAAATAAAAATGAAGACATGTTAGATGTGTCCTGAATGATACAGAGAATTCAGAAGGCTGTAGAACATAGAACATTGGAATGAATAAAATGATCCAGAATTCATCATATTTTAAAAGTGGAGATCAAATCTCGAGGCAAGCCATGTTTATTTATACAGTGCCTTCCATACATTGCGGTCAAAGTGCTTTACAGTGAATAAAATACAAAGATAATTCAAGTTATAATTTAAACAATAATGTAAAAGAGAATAGAAATTAAAACATAAAACAAATTTTAAACAAGAAAAAATAGTCATTAAATTAAAATTAGGAAAATTAAATTAGGATAATGAAGTGCCAAAAACAGATAACTTGAGAAAATTATTAGTGTAAATAAATAAGTAAATACATAAATAGTATGGATTGAAGGCATGGAGAGTGAGAGGCAAACTAGTAGAGTGCTGTCATTGTAATTCGCTCCCTCACTGGTTCTAACATGAACCTCTAGAAACCTTCACTGTGTTAGTAGCCTTTGTTTGTCCAATTATCATCACTACAGTAATGCTCATTTCTGCCAAGCTAACGATGGTGTACATTTACTTTCCCACACTGGACTAAACAGTATAGATAGCAGCAGTAGTTTAAAATCTGATATTGGAAGCCTGTAATGTGCTTTACTTTGTCTGTTGCACTGTTTCAGTAAATCCTTCAGTAAATACTTCAACTTGAAGCCTCACCCTTAACACTGGAGGAGGCTTTAGTACAGTACGCCTCACTTTTCTTAAAGCGGAGAAATACAAGCTCTTATAGTGTGTTATAAACACTACTTATAAAGCATGATGTTAATTCATAATGCATAATAAGCATGGCTATAAAGTGTAATGCATTTTTATAAACACTTATAGCTGTGTGTATAATGCCTTATTAATGCATTATAATGTGTAATGAATGTGTTCATAGGTTCTTATAGACATGATATTTATAGAAAGTGTTATTGTGTTCATTTATTTGTATCATCCCAATTATGCTACAGTTGCCTCCACAAATTCTCCACTGCATAATTATTTATTAATTTATTGTGTCTAATTTTGATGGTGGAGAACCTGCTGTGTGCATATTTTTTTAAAGAATCTTTGGAAAATTATTCTACTATAAGCACTGTTGTTAAGTCATACAGCAATTTTTGTACTATAGCCTTAATGCTAAGAATCTGTTGCCGCTGCTGAAACAAAACTTTATATCTTCATTTTTGTCATTTTTGTGATTTACATTGTGGGAAAATGTCATGATGAATGGGCCAACAGAAAAATGGTCCAAATGTATGTGGATTAAAATCTCATTGCATTAACTTCCATTTAAAGTTGCTCTGGATAAGAGAAACTGCGGTAAATACAAGGTAATAATGATGTTCATGTGTTCCTCAGGGTGATGACCGGATGAAGCTGCCCAGTCCCAATGACAGTAAGTTTTTCCAGAGTTTGCTGGATGAGGAGGAGCTGGAGGACCTGATGGATGCGGAGGAGTACCTGGTTCCTCACGCCTTCAACATCCCTCCACTAACGTACACCACCCGCTCACGGGTCGACTCCAACCGGGTGAGACGGAAAACTCAATTAGCCGCAAACACACTGTACTGTTCACAAGTCTGGAATTACTGGTCATCTTTCTGTTATTTTACATACAAAATAAAGTGCCCATTAAGCATTAGTTACTATTTAGTTACTGATTCTCTAATTAGAAATATATATATATATATATATATATATATATATATATATATATATATATATATTATTAATTATTATTATTTTATGGTTTATTCGAACTTTGCATTGTAACTGGATGCAGTGGTGAGGTTATTCTCTGTTACTTTCTTCTCTAAAATGTTAAAATGTATTCAGAATCACACTTAAAGTCAAATAAACATAAACTAACCTACATTCTTTTTTATTATTAAATGAAAACATATTAATAATAACATGCAGATCTGCTCTCAGGGAATGTTTAAATTTTGAAACCATTGAACATCAACGAACAAGTAATACTCAGTTAAGCCATCTTGGAAAGGATAAATTAGATCCTTAACCACCAGGTTTTACTTAAACCTATACAACAGTGGTTTTCAGCCTGTGGGAGGCTGCCCCCAGTGGGCAGTGGTGGTACTGTGGGTCTTTTATACAAACATTTAACCTGTAAAACATTTAAAGTGTAATTTTAAATATGACCTTTATTGTTGATTATTTGCAAACATAAAACATAATATTTATAATAAGCTCACTTATTGTTCCGGCAAAAGGTTAGCTAGTTATGTTTATATTTTCAGTGCAATCAAAACCAAGAAGAAGGAATTACATAACAATATGTAGCTCTGGGCTTCACCTGTGTGGGAAATGAAAACGAGTACCTACCGTTCTGTGCTGTTTGTTCAGGGGTCTTTACAAATGAAGCTTTGAAACCCAACAACTTAAACCATCACTTGGAAACTAAACATGTAAGGCAATGGATCTAAACCTGTCGAAGTGAGACAGAGCTCCATTTTCAGCTTACTCTCTTCAGCCTGACATCCAGCACTCAGTACCTTCCAAATCAGCCTTCTCATTAAGCGTGTCAGAAAAAAGATCACTTAAGTCCATGGAAGCCTTGGTTTTTCTTTTCATATTTAATAATAATTCAGCTTCCATTTACCTCAAACAGAGGCATCACACTCAGCTGGTCTCAACAACAATTTCTGAGTCCAACACCAAGACCAAATGAGACAGATACCGAGACGAGACTGAGACCACTATTTTATGGTCGAGACCAGACTCGAGTACTACAGCACTAGAAAAAACACTGCTGAGAAATATGGAATGAGTTTACAGAGAAATCTTTAATGCTGAGGAGCTTCTCTTTGCGGTTTTGTTTAATTTTATAACTATATTTTGCAGAATAAAAGTGACAAAAACACACTGACAAAACACGCTGATGATCTTAAAGCCTCAAGAAATGTGTAGTCACGTTATCTGTTTACTGTCTAATATCACTGTTCTGTTTTTCTTTTCCTTTTGGGTGATTTTGGTGACTTTATTCAACACTTGTTGTTTCCATCAAGTCCTTTTCATTTGGTACACATAAAATATGCGTATGGAAGCCCAGCTACTGCACTGGCACTATGAGGTGCTTTTTATACTTACTCATTTTCCCCTTGAAGTCTGTACACATGGAATTTGATCTCTTCAGCGCATAATTACAAGCTAGTTTTTTCACTGAATACATAAATCCTATCATACTGAGTTGAATAGGACCTGAAGAACTCATCTCATTCGAACATGAACCCTTGCATTTGTACACAGTCCTCTCTGTCTGCCCAAATTTGGGATCTGGGAAAAAGCCATGGAGCCCAAGTGCTAGAATCAAGTTATTGCTGAAAATTCAATGAAAAAATTCTCAAAAAAAAAAAAAAAGTTTTTTTAAAAATAGGCACTCAAGTTCTGCTTAAACAATTTATTCCCAATTTTCAGAATAATGTTTTCCCTTCTTTGCCCTCTCTGTTCCAAACTTCAAATCGGCCTCCTTCAGAAACAGGCAGGCTGAGTTCTCTCTCCATGACAAATTTGGACCCAATCAATCACGTCTGTCTTGTAGCACTCTTCAGAGGGAGCACAGAGGACCCTCCAACGTTCAAATCGTTCACTTTTCCAACTGAAACACGGACAAGGACACGAGGTCAGACATGCTGACGAACTCTCTCTCTCTCTCTCTCTCTCTTCCTCTTCCTCTTCCTCTCTCTCTCTCTTCCTCTTCCTCTTCCTCTCCCTCTCTCTCTCTCTCTCTCTCTCTCTCTCTTCCCCTCTCTCTCTCTCCCTCTCTCATATCACATTTCAGATTTTATGTCATTCACCAGGAATTTGCATAGTTGGGAAGACTCCTTTGCATTTTAATGCACTTTCAGATTTCATGGTCTTGATGTATTCCTTTATTATTTCAGTGAATCTGCTCTGTTTACCACCTGTGATTTGGTCTGGATTGAGTTTTGTAATGGATCTCTCTCCTTTTTCAGCCCGACCTTGAGTGGATGGGCACTGGTTGTAGTTCTCTCCCCACTTAACCCTTACTTTTATTTAGCTATACTGTCATTTTAATTTCTTTTTTATTTGGTATATCAAGATTTGATACATAATTCAATTTGTAGTGAGTTATACGACTAATTACACCTACATTAGATTTCGGTTCTGCACTTCTACCTATTTTCTGCTTCATTTTTATGTCAAAAAACTCTCTCTTTGCTAAGGCATTGCTAAGCCATTGCTATGGTATCCCAGGTGGTTGCTAGGGTGTTGTTAAGCCATTGCTATGCTATCCAAGGTGGTTGTTAGGGTGTTTCTAGGCCATTGCTATGTTATCCTAGGTGGTTGCTAAGGTGTTGCTAAGCTCTTGCTATGCTATCCCAGGTTGTAGCTAAGGTATTTCTAGGCCTTTGCTATGCTGCCCTAGGTGGTTGCTAAGATGTTGCTAAGCCGTGGCTATGCTATCCAAGGTGGTTGCTAACATGTTGCTAAGCTGTTGCTATTGTATCCCAGGTGGTTGCTAAGGTGTTGCCAATTTAATAAAATAAAATTCTCCCCGTTTTATCACAGGCTTTAAAACATCAGTCATTGTCTTATCTCTCTGAGCGCCTCATGTTTAATCTTTCTTGTACACTTGTCTTACCTGTGTCCAACACTGTCCGGGCTGGCCCAGAAGAGAGTGAGCTCTCATTTTGGTTTCCCTTGGTGATGCTCGTTAGGGGACTGGACCTGCATTTCTGGATAGCAGCTTTGGGAAATGTCTCTTGTAACAAGGACACTCAGTGTGATTGATGTAGAGCTGCGGCCATCTCCACAGCCTAGCAGAAGAACTGCAAATGCAGCAACAATGAATATCCTGCATTCCAGCACTTATGTAAAGTATGTTTTGGGCCTCTTACTTTGTGCACACACAGATTTGAGACTGCCAACATGTGCATTCATGAACTCCTGCTGGTGTAGGTTCGAGCCAGTTTCCTCCCTTTCAGTGATGCACACAAAAGCTACACTTTAGAAGAAGTTGTTTTAGAGTTCTTTGGTAAATAAATTTGCTGAGCCATGAGAACTCAAAGCACCTTTTGAATGCTTGCTTGGTTATTTGCATGGCTAAATAATTCTTCTCCACGATGGAGGGCCTTTTGTGTATGGTTCCTTAAAGAACCTTTTGAAAACTGTTGTACCGTTTTCCACTACTGATACCATTTTAGTACTAAATGGAAACTTTTTTACTAAGAGTATACCAATAGCTCCCCCTTGTAAATATTCAGCCTTCTAAATGTGAGTGAGTGAGGTACAGGCCAGGTACATAAGGAAGCATAAAAAGCACCATGAATTTGACTTAATCGCGTAAGCACTGCTAAACTTTTCAAGCGACTGATGAGTTGACTCAGGTGGGTTTGAGCATCAAACTAAAAATCACCTAACTCTGCTGAACCCCACTCCTCCAGTACCACATTTAGGCTCCTCAGGTTTGAGTATGAACTGTGATTTTATGAAAATGCTGTCTCCCAAAATAATCTCTGCCATATTTCTCTAAGGAACACAGTTGCTCCTATTTGCTTAGAGTGACCTCTGAAACGATTGATGTCTTAGGAGATTTCAGTAGCAGCCTCCAGCCTCTCTGTTCTAGCAGGTAAAGTGCTTTTCTCTCTCTCTCTCTGTCCGTGGAGACTGAGATCCCCACACAGTTTCCCAGGCTGCCTCTCTGGTGGCACTTTCATTACGAGGGCCAGTCTGTGTAAATATCAGGGTCTTCACTCAAGCGAAGGTGATGTTTGCTCATAGACAGCCAGTCCAGGCTGGGTGTTTACTCTGAGCCCCAAGGCCATTGGCTTATTAACTCTTAACATCCATGACGTCATCAACAAAGCAGTGGAGTCAGTGGGTGCAAGGTGTGTGTGAGGATGTATTTAGCTCTTTGTGGGGACTGAATGTCTGATGGATGATTTTGACATTTTGATGTTGTAGAGACATTTGGCTTCTCCCCACAGTTAAAATCCTTTTTCGTCTCGTGTTATGAAGTAAAAATGCATGTGGTTGCAGATCCTCCATATGTAGTAACTGTTGATGGCACCAGTCTGTAGAATAAAGTTTGATTAGAAGATTTATGAGCATTCGTAGGAATAAACAAGCTAAATCTTGAGAAGTGGAAAGAAGAGAAGAGAATGATGGCTCGTAAATTGGGCAAAGTCAAAGTCAACAACGAGTGAATTCTTTTCGTGAGAATGGAGAAAGAAATCAGTGATGTACTGTTGTAGTTGTCAATGCCTGGATTGGCTGAGGAGCACAAGTGTGGTTGATGACAGGATAATTGCCAAAACTGTGGACAGAAAAACAACTGTATAGAAAATCTGCAGAATGCAGAGAACTTTATCAGTTGAATTAAAAGACTACTCCAAAGTATCGCAAAAGTAAAATCCATAAAGCGAAAACAAAAACAAAGAGATTCAGAGAGTGTGGCGCTCATCTGGTCTTTTTCTCAATGACGAAAAATGGCAGCAGCACAATGATTTTAGCACCCAGTGGTTTCCTGAAGCATCTCATCTGTCTAC